CCTGTGGTGCGAGCAGAGCCACCTGACCTATTCTACCTGAGGGTCTCAAGGCCCCTCCCACCCAGTGACAACCGCACACTGAGCCTCCTGACACAGGGAGACCCNCCAGTGACAACCGCACACTGAGCCTCCTGACACGGGGAGACCCCCCACAGTCAGTGGCACCTGCTGCCTTCCAGGGTCACTCTGGGGACCGGTTTTTTTCCATGGGTGGCTGGCAGGTAAAACAGGACATGGAAACTGAGTCCCCATGGCTGTGTCCCCACCACCCTTTCCACCTCTTCTGATGGGTCACCCGCCACCCCGAGTGGGGACTGCACTCCTTCAGGGGCCGGGCTGTGTCACCCCACAACCCTCCTGGGAGAGGGGTCCTTCCAGTATCCTGGGAAAAATAATTTTCCGAGGCTCTCATGTTTTTATTTGCGTGGAATGACATCCCTGGGTTTCCAAAGTCCCATTTCCCTTAAACCAGTCCTGGGAGAGGAGCAGCTGGGGATTCAGCAGAACTAGAAACAAAGCCAGTGTCCAGAGTTTCTATTCCACGGTGGAGCCGGGTCCAATGATGGAGCATAGGGCTCATTGCAGCCCATCAGTCCATTGTGTGTGGGGTCCCCACGGCCGTGGGCCATGTGGGCGAATGCAGGAGCGTGAGAGCCCCGCAAGCCACGAGCACGAACCAAGAGCGAGAAGTCCTTTGTTTAGGAGATTAAATATCTCCCATCTTCTGGTGCTTGCAATGGCCACACCTGCTCTGGCCCAGGACCTGGTCCCAGGTGTGACTGACAGACAAGCAAGCACCTTCCCTACGTCCCCCAGACTTTACAGGGCGTTCATCTAAATTGCAGCTTCCGCCCGGCCGGGCTTGGCTCAGCGGTTAAGCGTCGACCTAGGGTCCACTTGATTGGGGTTCGATTCCCAGTCAGGGCACATGCCGGATGCCCGGGTTGGGGGCTGCAGCCGATCAATGACTCTCTCATCATTGATGTTTCTATCTCTCTCTCTCCCTCTCCTTTCCTCTCTCTGAAATCAATAAAGATATATTAAAAAAAGAAAAAAAGAAGTTTAAAAAATAAATAAAAATAAAAAAATAAATTGCAGCTTCCCCGCAAAGCTGCCCAAATGACAAGCCCATAACATTTGCCCTTCCCTCTGCTCCTTTCCTGTTATTAACAACCAGGTTTATTACAATGACATCAAAGGGACACACTCAGGTGCTTCCTCT